TTTGAGCTTCGACAGCTTCGCGTCGCGCGCCGGCGCCGCGGGCGCCGCCGCCGCCGNTGCGGTCCACCGATACTTACTCACCGCGCCGCCGCCGGTCGCGCCGCCGGTCGCGCCGCCGCTGAGTCTCGCCGCCGCGATGCGCCGCCGCCGTCGAATGTCCTCGTCCGCGGCGTCCACCTCCTCCAGCTGTCGCTTCAGCGACGCGCGGCGAGACTCGATCCGTCGCGCCGCCGCGTCGAGACGGTCGATCTCTCGCTTCGCCGCCGCGCTGTCGTCGTTCGCGGCGTCCGCAGCGGCGTTGGCGCGCCGCGCCGCGTTCGCCGCCGCGAGCGCCGCCGCGAGCGCGACCGCGGCGGCGGCGGACGCGCTCTGGCCCGACGCGCCGGAGCCGGACCCCCCGGAGCCGCCGCCGCCGCCGCCGCCGCCGCTCGCTTTTTTTCTCTCGAGCGCCACGCGCGCGCGCGTCAGCTCGAGCTTCGCCTTCACGAGGTCCATCTCGCCCTTCCTCGCGCGCTCCCTCGCGATCGACATCGACGTCGCCATCGCGTCGGACGCGGCCGCGGTCGTCGTGGCGACGGCGCCTTCGTCGTGCGCGCGTTCGCCCCGCTCGTCGTCGTCATCGCGGTCGTAGACGTCGTCGAGGTCGATGAGGAGCGCGCCGCGTCGATCTCGATCCTCCTCCTCCGCGCGCTCTTCTCGGGGCTCCTTCTTCGTCGTCTTCGGCGGCGACGTCGCGCTCGGCGGCGATCGCGGAGGCGTCGTCGTCGCCGCCGCCGTCGTCGTCGTCTCGGCCTTCGCCATCTCTCGCGCCCTTCTGTTCTTCTTCTTCCGCGAGTTCTTCGCCTTCGCCTTCGCCCTCGCGTTGACGACCTTCTTGTGCGCGAGCGCCTTGCCCGCGAGCTGCAGCGTCAGCGGCGGCGGCGGCGGCGGCAGCGGCTCGATGCGAAGCGGCGGCGGCGGCAGCGGCACGATGCGAAGCGACGGCGGCACGGGCTTGAGCTCGACGTCGGGCACGATCTCTCCCGTCTCGTACACGGCGTCCACGCGCGCGCCCGACGCCTTGGCGCGCGCGCGCGCGCGCTTGCTCGCGAGCGCCATCCGGCGCAGCGCCTCCGCGGAGCTCATCGCGCGCTACGGCGGGTCGAGCGGGGTCATGACGCGAGGCGAGGGAGGAGGGGAGACGCCGGGCGTCGCGGACTGATGTGATGAAAAAGCCGAGACTCGTACAGATAGTGGTAGCGTAGCCGCGTTTTCGCGTCGTGTCATCAATCACGCCAGCATTGCCACTACCACAACGCCGCGCGCGAGCCGGCGTGAGGAGAGGAGACCGTCGCCGAGACCGCGAAGGAAGGCGCGGGCGTCGTCGCGGACCGCGGTCGGTAGTCGCGTCGCGCGGCGGACGTCGCGCGTCGCGCGTCGCGACGACGACGACGACGACGACGACGACGATGGAGGAGCTCGGCGGCGTCGCCGGGGCGCCCCCGCCGCCGACGCCGACGCCGCGCGACGTCCCGCTGATGCGACCGGGGGACGTCGTCCTGCTCGACATGAACGGCGAGAAGTGGGCGTTCATCAACCTCAAGCGCGGCGGGTGCGCGCGCGTCCGTCCCTCCGTCCGCGCGCGCGTCGTTCCCTCCGTCCTCCGCCGCCGCCGCCGACGACGCGTCGTCGATCGATCATCAGATCCGACGCCCGAGCCGTCGGCGTCCACCCGTCCATCCATCCGTCGTCGGTCTCTCTCTTCTCTCTCTTCGCGCCGACGACGCGCTTTCTCACGCGCCCTCCTCCCCCTCACCCCCGTCCCCCTCCCCGCCCGCCCTCGCAGCACCGCGTGCGTGGGCAAGCATCGCGCGGTGTCGCTCGACCCGCTCATCGACCAGCCGTTCGGCGGCGCGTACGAGGTGGACCAGGCGCGTCCTCATCTGTTTACACTGGTCCCCGTACGACCGCGTCGGCGTGGTGAACGCGATTCCTTAAGGACTTTGTCTCCCGGCGTTCTTTCGCCTCTCTTCGCGCGCGCCTCGCTTTCGATCCCGACGCGCCGCGACCGACGCCTTTCAACTCCGTATCCGACGCCTTTCGACTCCACATCTGACGCCTTTCGACTTCACCCCGAACAAACATAAACAGGACGGCGTCTTGTACCCGGCGGAGCGCGCGGAGGCGGGCGATTGGGACGAGGGCGTCGTCCCGGAGGACGACGACGAGCGCACGAACGCGGAGATCAACGACATGCGGGATAACTCCGCGCAGGGTCTGTCGCACGACGACATTCATCGGTTGAAAAAGGCTGGCGTCGGCGCCGCCGGGCTCGTGCGACAGCTGTGCGAAAACTCGAGCACGTTTCACGCGAAAACCGCCTTCGCGCAGGAAAAGTACAAGAAGAAGAAGCTCGCGAAGCATCTCACGCGCGTCCGCGCGCGCTTCCCGTCCGCGCGCGCGATATGCGAGGCGTACTTCTACAAGCAACCCGCGGCGATTAACTACCTGCGGTACGACGCGCTCGGAATGCTCCTCTCGCTGGGCAACGTCGGCGCCGACGCCGCGCCGCTCGTCGTGGAGACGTGCGGCGGGCTCGTCGTCGCCGCCGCCGCGGATCGAATGGGCGGCCGCGGGCGCCTCTGCGCCGCGCACGCGGGCGCGGAGAAGGCGACGATGGATATCGCGCGGCTCATCAACTTGACCGACGCGGCGCGCGAGAGCATCGTGACGTGCGCGCTGGGCGATCTGATCAAGGCGCGGTCGGATCCGGAGGCGTGGAGCGTCGAGGCGAAAACGCGGGAAGAAGCCGCGGTCGAGGCGAGGGCGGCGATCGAGGCGGATAAGGCTGCCAAGCTCGCGGCCGCGGGCGGCGACGTCGCGATCGGCGCGCCGACGCGGAAGAAGCCGGAGGGGTGGCGGTCGCGGCGCATCCGCGACGCGGCCCCTGGGGACGTCTCCGCGATGTGTCGCGACGACGAGGGGTTCACGTCTCTGATCATCGCGTCGCCCGCGCTGGACCCGAGCGTCGCGCTGGACGCGCTGCTGCCGCTGCTCGCGCCCTCGGCGCCGTTCGCGGTGTGGAACCCCGCGTCCGGGCCGCTCGCGGAGGCGCTCGAGGCGCTGCGGTCGACGCACGCGGCGGTGGGACTCGCGTTGCACGAGCCGTGGCTGAGGAAGCATCAGGCGCGTCCTCATCGCACACTGGTTCCCATACGACCGCGTTCGCGTTGTGAACTTCATTCCTTGAGGACTTTCTCTCCCGGCGTTCGTCTCTCTCCGCTCGCCCCTCGCTGGTTTCGATCCCGAGACGCGCCGCGACGCCTTTCGACTCCACCCCTGACGCGCCTTTCGACTCCGCCCCGACGTCGCTTCGTATGGGAAAATACCCTCAGGTGTTGCCGGGTCGGACGCATCCGACGATGACGACGGGCGCGGGGAGCGGCGGGTACGTGCTGAGCGGGACGTACGTTCCCGCGTGGGCGCGGGGGGGGAGGCCGAGGGCGAAGGACTCGCGGGGGGAGGAGGACGGCGGCGGCGGGAAGAGGCCGAGGGCGGAGTAGGACGCGACGACGTCATCGGTCTGGCGGGTCTAATTTAATAATACCTCACAAATATTTTTCGCGAGACTCCTTCGCACGACGCCACAACCGAACGTCGCGCGCGCGGGAGCGATGCAGGAGCCAGAAGTAGTACGACGCGGGCTGCCGGATGCGATCGTCTTAGCCCTGCCATACTTAGTGGGCGCGATATCCCTCAGGTTCGAGCGCGATGGCTTCATCCACGTCACGCCGCGCCACCTGAAGATCCTCTTCGAGTGGGAACGCGAGGTGGCGAGGTGCACGAAGGAGGAGGGTGAGAAGTTCTTGACGCGGTTCGATCACCTGTCTGCGGCGGGGGGGGCGGCGGGGGGGGCGGAAGTAAAGCAGGCGTGGGAAGCGTGGGAAGCAGGTCTGTGGGAAGCCGAGAAGCGCGGAGACGGGAAGATGACCGCGGCACGCGAGTCGTTTCCATCGATCGATCACGGTCGCGTCGTCGCCGCGTGCTGGGCGGAGTACGCCAAGACGCTGCGCGAGGCCGCGATGCGCGGCGACGCGAAGCAGCTGCTGACGTACGACGCGAACGAGACCTTGGGCGACGCGTATCCGGGTTTCCACACCAGAGTCGGCGGGAGAGTCGATCTCGACGTGACCTCCGCGTTGAAAACCGTGTTGCCGTTCGGACCGGAGGACGCGCCGTGGGTGCCTCTCGTGAAGCACCTCCTCGGCGTGGACAAAGTCAGGAGCATCAAGAGCGTCGACGGGCGGTACGGGTTCGGTTGCGTGGTGAGCGCGCCCGGGGATCTCGACCAAAACTGGCACCAAGACGGAGACACGACGCGCGATCCGAACGCGCAGACGAACACCGTCATAGTGTTCACGCAATCGCTTCCGGTGCTCGACGACATGGGCAAGCTGCAGGTGATACCAGGTTCGCACCGAGTGCGAAACGTCCCAGGACACGAGCTCCCGCCGGAGTTGGAAGCGAAGACGGAAAACCTGCGGGAGTGGCCGTCGATGCGCACGAGCTTCTCACCGAGTGTCTCCCCCGACGACGGAGAGCCCGGCGACGTTCTGGTGATGGATTACAGGCGCGTTCTATACACTGGTCCCCATACGACCGCGTCGGCGTGGTGAACGCCGATCCTTAAGGACTTTGCCCGGCGCATCTCTCCGCCCACCCCTCGCGTTCAATCCCCGCCTTCGACGCCTTTCAACTCCAGCTGACGCCTTTCAACTCCACCCCGACTTCGCTTTGTATGGAACGACCCTACAGATGCTGGCACCGCGGGCTGGCGAACGCGTCGGGCGTGATGCGGCCGCTCGTGTACGCGCGGTACGAAGCCGTGCGCGACGACGACGGCGGGACGGACGGACGAAAGAAACGCGCGGAGGCGGCGGCGGACGACGACGCGGAGAAGAAGAGACCGCGTCGCGTGCAGCCCGTCCCGGCGGCGCCGGGGTGAGTCTCGGCGACGAGATGTAGATTTAGGAATGCATAGGCAGGGTAAAGTAGCGTAGCGCACGACTGCTCGTTATATTACACGACCCGAACAGCCTCGTCGGTCACTATAATAGTGTAGCACAGCACGTAACACGTAAACAATCAATCGTTGGCAGCGAGCGGGTTCATCCGTTCCGACGGGCGTCGCTCGACGTCGTCGTTCGCGAATCCTCCGTCGCGCCTCCTCACGCGGCGAAGAGCTCCTCCACGGTCATGTCGCGCTCCGCCGCCACCTGCTTGTACGTCCGCATCTCCTGCAACCCCTTCACGACCGCGCGCGCGTTGTTCAGCGCGTTCGGCGACCCGAGCTGCTTCGCGAACACGTTTTTGTACCCCGCGAGCTCCAACACCGTGCGGCACGACCCGCCGGCGATGACGCCCGTGCCCGGCCCCGCTGGGCGCAGCATCACAACCGCGCCGCCGCTGCCCTTGACGGTGACTCTGTGCGGGAACGAATCCCCCTTCGAGATGGGGACGGACACCATGCACTTGCGCGCGTCCGCGGCGGCTTTCGTGACCGCCGTCTGCACCTCGATCGCCTTCGCGCACCCGACGCCTACTTTGCCCTTTCCGTCGCCGACGACGACGGTGGCGCGAAACGACATGTTGTTCCCGCCCTTGGTCACCTTCGTCACGCGGTTGACTTCCACGACGGACTCTTGGAGGCCGTCGCCGTCGTCGCGGCCGCGGCCTCTGCCGCGTCCGCGGCCTCTGCCGCGACCTGGCGAAGCGGGTGGACGGACGGACGGACGGACGCGGTGGGGTGGGGGGGGAGGAGCCGTCAGCGATCGAGGTTGAATGATTTTACGCAGCAGTGCCGCGACGACCGCCCGCGCGGCGCGCTTCGGGGATAAGATTGCGTGACCTAACCCTGAACCCCGCGCCGGAGCGCGCGCCCCGGCGGGCGACGCGCGACGCCGTCGGCGTCGACGCGACGGCGGCGGTCCCTCGATGGCATCGACAGACGATTCGTCTCGTCGTGCGGCGCCGGGGACGGTCGCCGTCGCGCCGCGGCGGCGCCGCGAAGGCGCGCGAGACGGATGGTTGGGCACGGAGAAAAAGCGCCGCTCGCCGCGTCCAAGCGCGGCGGAAAAGCCGCGACGATGATGGCCGGAGACGACGGAGACGACGGGAAGCGCGGACGCACCGCGAGCGCGGGGACGATCACCCTCGTCGGAGCTCATGGACGGCGCGTCGCCGGCGCCGCCCGCGGCGTCCTCGCCCTCGGCGCGGACGATCAGCGACGCGGAGCGGCGCGCGTGGAAGCGAACGCCCGACTTCGCGGCGACCGCGCGGCCGCCCGTCGCGAATTGTTTCGCCGCGGGCTTCGCCGCGGAGACGCGCGCGGTGCGCGGCGCCATCGCGGCGGCGGACATGGTGATGGTCGCCATCGTTGTGTCTAGGTGTCGAAGACGAAGGTCAATCGACGCGCGCGACGACGACGTGCGCGGTGGAGTGGCGCGGGACGCGACGCGCGAATCGACGTCACGGCGAATCCATCGCGAGACCCTACTCGTAGCTAGAATCTCAGGTTTTTCCGCGACCGGATGGATTCGTCGATTAATTTTCGTTCGCTCGGTTTGAAAATACACAATCACCGATGAAAACGCATCGTCGACCGCGGGAGGCGCGATCAACTTTTAACAGCGCGCGCGCGCAACTCCGTGGACGACACGTCGCGCCGAAACCCCTCCAACGCCTCGAACAGATCGCTCGCCCACTCGGGAACGTCCACGTCGTCCAGCGTGCGAAACGCGTCGCCGTCGACGCGCCCCGCGACGACGAACGAGCACCTCGCGCGTCGCAGCTCCTCGAACGCGCGTCGCATGCCGTCCTCGCCGCCGTAGTACTTCGGCATCACGAGCCGGATCGCGGTGTCGTGCCCGACGACGAACGCGGACCCGGGCATGAGCGCCGCCTTGGCGTTGAACAGCGGCGCGCGCGTGAGCACGACCGAGGGAAGAGGAGGAGGAGGAGGCGAAGAGGAAGAAGGAGGGTCCTCCGCCTCCGCCGACGCCGACGCCGCGAATTCGGTTTCCAACGCGCGCTCCAACGCGTCGACGCGTCGTCGCACCTCTTCGATCGGCAGCGTCCCCTTGTCCGCGTTCGTCACCGCGAGCTCGTACGCGGGCGCGCGGTCAGGCTTCATCTTCATCGCCGCCGCGAGCATCCCGCGGTGGCCGTCGTGCAGCGGGTTGAACGACCCGGGAAGGATGAGCAAATTCTCGGGGACGACCCCGCGCGCCGTCGCCGCCAGCTGATGAGGGTCGTTCCATACGAGCGAACGTCGGGGTGGAGTTAAAAGGCGTCAGTTGGCGTTGAAAGACGTCGAGGGCGGGGATTGAAAGCGAGGGACCCTGGGCGGAGAGACACGCCGGGAAAAGTCCTTAAGGATCGGCGTTCACCACGCCGACGCGGTCGTATGGGGACCAGTGTAAGAAGAACGCGCCTGAGCCCTGCGGTCGCCGCGCGCGGTCATCGAAAGCTGGAGCACGTCCCCCGCGCCGGAGACGAGCCAGTCGACGTGGTCGTCGATGCGCTCGCGCGTCTTCGCGAAGACGTCCGCGGGCGGGTTCAGGAACGGCGCGAGGACTTCGTCCGGAGCCGAAATCGTCGTCGTCGACGCGTCGATCGATGACCTTCGGTCGACGTCGCCGCTCGCGCTCGCCTCCGCGCTCGCCTCCGCGGCCGCGTCCAGCAGCGCGCGCACCACGACGCGGCTCGCGACCGCGTCCTCCCCCCACCGATCGCGCCTCCCCTTCTCGAACGTCAGGCTGTACTCCGTGACGCCGCGCGCGTCGTGCGTCGCGACGACGCATCGATGCTCGCCGCGCTTGGGAATCTCCGACGTCAGCGCGCACGTGCACCCGAGCCCGACGACGTGCCGCGTCGCGTTCGCCGCCGCGGACGCCGCCGCGAGGCCGGAGAGGCGGACGCCGCGCGCGTACGCCGCCGCCGCGAGGTCGCGCGCGGTCGTCGACGAGACGTATCGCCGCGGCTCCGTCCCGCCGAGCGCCTCGATCGTCGCCTCGCGGCCGTACGGCACGCGCGCGTCGAGGAGCGTGCGCGACGCGCCGGGAACGGCGGCGACCCATCCGAGGGACTGCGCGGCGCCGCCGGTGACGTGGAGGACCGCGCGGACGGGGGAGGCGTGGACGGCCTCGACGGCCGCGCGCAGCGCGGGCTCCATGACGGCGCCGGCGCGGGAGAGGGACGCGCGCGCGTCTACTGTGGCGGGGACGACGACGAGCGGAACAGGGCGGAGACGCGCGAGACGCGACGAAAAACCGGGCGCGCCGCGAGCGATCGGTCGGTCGGATGGAGATTGATGACTCAAAAACGACGGGTTAATCGCCTCGACTGATGAAGTCGCGCCGCGCGCGGGCTCTCGCCTTTGCCCTTTTTCAACTCCAGTCTCTTTCGTTCGCCCCCGTCGCGTCCTCGCCACTCCCCCTCTCGCGCGGCTTCGCGGTTCGCCGATGTCTACCCCGGCATCGGACAGCAAGAAGCTCGTATTCATCGACCCGGAGCACGTGAACCACAACCTCAAGGTGAACAAGACGATCTACGAGTTCTTGAGCGTCGTCGCGGGATTAGTCTGCGGCGTCCTCGGGCTCACGGATCTCGGAGGCGTCCTCGCGTTTCTCGTCTTCAACGCGCTCATCGGGCTCGTCGTGCTCGCGAAGACCGGGTTTAACCTTCGCGCGCACTTCCTGAGCTGGGACAAGGTGTTCGTGGAAGGCGCCGCGGGAGGCTTCGGCACGTTCGTCTTGTTCTGGACGCTCTTCTACAACATCGCCCACCTCTTCTGATCGAACGATCGAGCGAACGAACGATCGATCGCGAGGAGCGGGGGTTGTGCTGCACTGGTTCCCATACGACCGCGTTGACGTGGTGAACGCCGATCCTTAAGGACTTTCGCCGGCGCATCTCTGCGCCCAACCCCCGCTTTCAATAGACAAGTGCGCCGCGTTCGAGGGGCGACAGACGAGCTCGTCTATCTGAGCTCCGACGTCTAGAAGAAGAAGAAGAAGAAGAAGAAGAAGAAGGCGACCGACCCGACGAGGATGTACGCGCACGGCGTCATGAACGGCGTCGTCCTCGGCGGCGGCACGGGCGACAGCGGCGTGTCCTCGTTCGGGTTCAAGCGTCCTCGCAAGCTCGGCGTCTCGACGCGGCGCCCCGATCACGACGCGTCGCACGTCGGCGGCGCGAACGCGGTGGAGATCGACGACCAGGACGGGATCCTGTACACCGCGGGGCGCGACGGGACGATACGCGGATGGGACGTGGAACGCCAACCGTCGCTTCCGCCGCGGTGCGTTCTATACACTGGTCCCATATGACCGCGTTCGCGTCGTGAACGCCGATCCTTGAGGACAAAAATGCCCGGCGCATCTCTCCGCCCACACCTCGCGTTCAATCCCCGCCTTCGACGCCTTTCAACTCCAGCTGACGCCTTTCAACTCCACCACAGATGCGTCGCCGTTCTCGAGGGGCACGCCGGGTGGGTGAACGATCTCAAGGCGCCGCGGCAGTCGCCCGGGACGCTGCTCTCCGCGTCGAGCGATCGCACGGTCAAGGCGTGGCGGATCGGCGGCGATTCCGACGCGCACGGCGCGGAAGGCGAACCGTCGCAGCCGCGGTGCGTCGCGACGATGGAGCGGCACGACGACTACGTCATGGCGCTCGCGACGCCGTCGCGCGCCGGCGGTCGCGAGCACTTCGCGAGCGGCGGCCTCGGCGCCGATAACGTCTACCTGTGCGTTCTATCTCACACTGGTCCCCATACGACCGCGTTGGCGTGGTGAACGCCGATCCTTAAGGACTTCGCCCGGCGCTTCTCTCCGCCCAGGGTCCCTCGCTTTCAATCCCCGCCCTCGACGCCTTTCAACTCCGCTTCTGACGCCTTTCAACTCCACCCCGACGTCGCTTCGTATGGACAATTACCCTCAGGTGGGACGCCAACGTCGCGACGAACCCGATCGGCGTCTTGAAAGCGTGCGGCGGCGACGTCGCGTCGCCGAGCATCGCGCGTCCGCTAGACGGGAGCAAGGCGAGCGTGTACGCCCTCGCGATGGACGGCGTCGGCGCCGTCGTCGCCGCCGGGTCCACGGATGCCATCGTCAGGGTCTGGGACGCGCGCGACCCCTCCGGGTGCGCCAAACCCGCGTTCAAGCTGAAGGTATCTCACACTGGTCCCCATACGACCGCGTTGGCGTGGTGAACGCCGATCCTTAAGGACTTTTCCCGTCGTCTCTCTGCGCCCATCCCTCGGTTTCAAGCCCCGTCCTCGGCGCCTTTCAACTCCACCTGACGCCTTTCAACTCCAAAGGGCCACGCGGACAACGTGCGGTCGATCGCGATCGACCCGAGCGGTCGCATGTGTCTCACCGCGAGCAGCGACCGCACGTTGCGCCTGTGGGATCTCGGGCAGCGGCGGTGCGTGCAGAGTCTCCCGGGCGTGCACGCGTGCGCGGCGTGGGCGGCGAGACCGGCGGACGACAGCTGGCACCGCGCGTACTCGGGCGGCAGCGACGGACGGGTCTACGTCACCGACCTCGCGCACCGACGCAGCTCGCTGCTGTTCCAGGAGAAGCACGGCGTGTTGGATCTGAGGGTGGACGCGAGGAGCGGGGGGAAGCACGTGTGGACGGCGACGATGGGGACGGAAGTGAACAAGTACCGCGTCGACGTGACGAGCGGCGAGCACGACGCGTTCGGGGTCGCGGGGTCGATCGGATCGAACGGATCGATCGGCGGGCGGCGGCGGCAGTCCGGCGGGCTGATTGATCGCATGTCCATCGACGGGGGTTCCCATTCCCATTCCCACCATCACCACGGAGAGAGCGGCGCGTCGATGTCGATGGGCGGCGGGTCCTCGCCGCACGGCGCCCTTTGGTTCTCCGCGGGGCGGTCCCCGCGAAAGAGCGGCGGCGCGAATCCGTTCGCGTCGCCGTCGTCGTCGCCGTTCGCCGCTTCAAGCGCGGCGTCCGCACGCGCGGCGGCGTCGCACGCGCTTCCGTCCGTCACGATCCGCGGCGCCGCGCCGATCGTGCAGCACGCGCAGCTGAACGACCGCGTGCGCGTCCTCGCGAAGGACGCGAACGGCGAGGTCACGCTGTGGGACGTCACCAAGTGCGCGCTCGTTCGAACGTTCGCGCCCGGAAGCGTCTTCGAAGACGTGCTCGCCGCGATCAACCCGATCGTCGCGATCCCGTCGTGGTTCACCGTGGACTCGCGATCGGGCAGCCTCGCGATCACGCTGTCTCCGAGCGGCGCGTTCGCCGCGGAGGCGTACGCGCAGGAGATGGGCGTCCCCGGCGCGATCGCGGAGACGAAGATAAACGTCGGCGTGCAGACGATTCACGCGTTGCTCCGCGACTGGGCGGCTCGACGCGCGGCGCGCGCCGAGGACGAAAACGATACCCGCACCGCCTTCTACGGGTACTCCGCCGCGCACGCGAGCGACGACCACGACCCGTCCAAGCTGGATCCGTGCGACGACGCGGGCGCGTTCGCGACGCCGGACCCGCCGCCCGTCTTGCTGTGCGAACACCACGGCGGCGCTTCGTGGGTGCGCGTGCCCGTCGAGGGTTTGCGCGGCGGCGACGACGAGGAAGCGTTGATGCCGGAGTGGATCGTCGACTGCGCGAGCGGTCGGCACCCGGTGCCGGAGTCCGCCAAGGCGTCGTTTTTCGTCAACCCGGACCCGGACGTTGAGACGCCGCTGCCGTGCATACAGAACGCGAGGGTGACCGCGCCGAGGGTGCTGCAGTCGCGTAAGGTGTCCGCGTACGTCCTGCAGAAGCTCCGAGTGGAGGCGCCGGGGGGCGCGAGGCCCGAGGATTGCCTCTCGCTGACGTGCAACGGCGCGGAGTGCGACCCGAACATGTCGATGGCGACGATCGCGAAGTTCATGTGGAAGCGCGGGGACGAGGTGCAGCTGTTGTATTCGTGGAGGGAGGGCGTGCCGATGCCCGACGGCTTGGGAGGCGACGGGCTCGCGTCGGGGTGACGACGACGCGGCGATTGATGTTAATAACGTTGTAAACGCGCGAGCGAGCTCCGATCAAAACCAATCAATCGCGTCCATACAGTACATCTCTCATCGCGTCTAAAGGGCGCGAACGCTCGCGGCAGACAGACGAGCGCGGGGGTATGGGAGGGATCTCCCGAGTCGGTCGGCACCCGAGTCGGCACCCGAGTCGGCACCCGCCCGCCCGCCTCAGGCGTCGCCGCGGTCGCGCTCGTCGAAGACGCTCTCCTTGACGAACACCGCGCCCACGAGCCGATCGGCGAATTTCCGCCCGTTCAAACTCCGCTGCGCGCGTCTCGCGCACTCCACCGTCGCGAACTTCAACATCACCTCGCCGACGCCGACCGGGTCGAGGTCCGGGTGCGGCCCCGGCCGCGGCATGAGCACCTTCACGAGCGATCCGAACCCTTTGCACTCCTCCTCCGTGTCCTCGAGTATCTCCGCCGCCTCGGTCGGATCCGCGAGCTCTTCTCGGGAGACCATCCCTTTCAACCGGACGCACGTCGTCTCCACGCCGCCGGTGAGCGCCGTCGCGGTCGCCAGCGGCACGTTCGCGACGTATCCGAGCTGCTGCTGCGCCGCGACGGTCGACGTTCCGTCTTCCCCCGCGGCGTTATATCCGCCGATCGGGGGGGGGTTGCCGTTTGCGAATTTCACGTTGATGAGCTTCTCGCCGAGCCGCATGCCGTCGAGACCTTTGATCGCCGCCTCGCTCACGGAGGGGTCCAGGAACTCCCAGAACGCGTACCCTTTCGATAAGCCGGTGTCCTTGTCGAACACGAGGTTGAACGCCTTGATCTCCCCGAACGAGCACACGAGCTCCTTGACCTGGTTCTCCGTGATGTAATTCGGAAGGCCGCCGACGAAGAGCTTATACGGCGACGTCGAGTTCTCCGTGGACGCCACCATCGGCGTCGGCGTGTGGTTGATCCCGATCGCGGAGTAGTTTAAGTTCGGGTTCGGCTGCTGCGGGCCCAACAGCGACGCCTGGGCGATGTTGTAATCGTTCGGCCGTCGCAACCGCAGCTGCTGGCCACCGTAGACCACGCCGTCGAATCCGAGCGCGTTGCTCGCCTCCTCGACGGTTTGAAACTCGATAAACGCGAACAACTTCTCGCGGTTGATGTACGTGGACACGACGCACCCGCCGTCCACGCGCTTCGTCGCGCCGGTCGCGAGCATGATCTCCTCGAAGAACTGCGTCAGGTGCGCGTCGTCCACGTCCGCGGTGAGCGCGCCGACGTAGACGCGCCGCGCGTGTCGCGTCGCCTGGACGTTGATCCCGTTGGCGTGGAGCGCGGTGAGTTGCTTCGCCGCGACGTCCATCGCCGCGAGCTTCGCCTCGTCGTTCAACCCCATCTGCGAGTTCGTCACGTTCTGCACGAAGAATCGCGCGCCCTCTGCGGTCTTCGCGACGTCCGGGGCTTGGTCGAACCCGGTGCGGCGGCCGGGGCGGCGAGACGGGTCCGCTCCCCCGGACGACGCGTTCTTTTCGTCAGTAGTGCGTCGTTCAGCCTCGTCGTCCGACGGCGGCGGCGTGCCGTTCGGGCCCCACGTCCGCCCGACGTGCGCTTTCCGCGACCCGCGATGATTCTGCGGGTTCCTCGAGAGGATGTGTCGAGGGATCTCGGGGATGACGTCGTCGCGGCGGTCACGGTCACGGTCGCGGTCGCGGTCGCGGCGGCGGTCGGACGTGGGGCCCGAACGGCACGCCGCCGCCGTCGGACGACGAGGCTGAACGACGCACTACTGACGAAAAGAACGCGTCGTCCGGGGGAGCGGACCCGTCTCGCCGCCCC